TCAATTTTTATAGGTGCATGGTAGAAGTACATTAATAAACATTTTCAAAAGATTATTTTCCTTGTAAATGCATTTTGTTTCCATGTTCATTATTTGAACTAAAGAATTGAAGATTTTTTTTACAAATAAAAATTCTACCGTTCTATTCTATATTGAGTCAGTGTTTAAAGTATTCATTGATTTAATAAAAATCTATAATCACTAAGTACAGAAAAGAAACATAGGTATATGTAGGCATAATGACAAATTTAAAGAATAATCTAATTTTTTTTTAAGTTGTTAGCTATATTTTAATACCTTATGCAATTATCATAAACATAAAAATTGATGTGTATAATAAAATATTTTTAATAATGTTCATTAGGTTAGAAATGTTATTATCAGACGATTTATTGCTCAATTGCGATTATGTGAATAGTCTATAGTTTATTATATTAAAATCAAATGCAATCTAACTGCACGTGTAATGTGTATTACGTCCATAAGTTCATTCATAGTAAAATGCTGCTTTTACAGATTTTTAAACTAAAATATTTGTCTTTGATTTTGTCTTGTCATCAAATTTTTAATGCTCATCATAAGTTTACCATGTGAGCGCGGTCCTTTTACTTCCTATTATAATTTCCATAGTATATTTTAAATTATATTGAATTATTAATTAATTTCGCAACTTTAATTGAATCAAAATGATGTGCATTCTTAATGCTTCTATTTATTGTTTTATTTATGTCATGCGCATTTTATTACCTGATATGCTAATATGCAGATTTTATACAATTTTGAAATTGAAAATTCTTTGAATTCGTTCTATAGTATAGTTAAAACTATACAATATAAATGTTAATTACCTACTATGATGTTCATATCTATATATACACATATTATTTTTAATAATTGTGAAACGCAATAACTAATAACTACATTACTAATATGGTATTCGAGTAGAACTTAAATATTAGTGTATATTTTCACCTCCACAGACATTTATAATACAATGAAGTTTTCTTAATTATTTTAAAAGTTTTTAATATAACTCAAGTTGAATATCTCAATGCCTTTAAATAACTTTTTAAATTATTATTAGTATTTTATTGTGAAATTTGATAAATGTTAATTGGACTTTTTTAGTAGTTTAAGTTTTAAAACGTGAACAGCGAATGCCGGATATTATAAATAATAAAACGTATAAGACTATAAACACAAATAGTTTTATATGGGTTTAAAATTTCAATTCTGAATTTTCACTCAAACGTTTCTCTGACATTATTTTAATAATATATTAATATCTATGCTAACGTATTCGAGGCGTTTTTGTCAATTTTATAGGTTCTGATATTAAATTTCAATGACGACAAACTTACTATTTTGAGTGATTCCTACTAGGGTGGTTACTGGTATTAAATGTAATTATTTTGATCGATAATAGTAATTAATACTCAATAGTACATTATGCAAAGGGAAAACGGCCCTGGCTCTAATAGGCATAAAATACTGCAGTCACTAAAAGGGTATTTCAAAATAATAATCTGTAACGAGTGCGGATATACAGTTAACTAAACCATATGCTTCACAGAGTATGATCACCAACGTTTTATCCTTTATTATTGCATTTATTTAAATTCTGATGTTTGGATTTATTTTCAAGTTGCTATACTTACAAGTTAGAATTACTATGTTTTACAACATATTTTAGATTTTTTTCTTTGCTGTATATTTCAAGCAATGTTCTGTGGAGATAAAACTTATTTTTTTCAAATGAGAACCTCCTTTTTTACTGTAACACAGATAATTTTCGTGTTAATTTTGATGTTACTTTGAAGTTCAAAAGAGTGACTATGGTTTTTTAGCAATTAAACTTTATAAACGAAAGATATATTTCAATGACAATAGGTTTAGCAGATAATAATTTTGAACAAGGTCTATCTATACTTAGTTTCATACAAACATAAAATAGATGTACTTATTTTAGGTACTCAGACAATTTCTACAAATTTTAAATTGCTAATAGATTACCATTAATATCTATAATCTTTAAATCTTTATATTATTATTTGAATTGGTGTATATGTATATAGTAGAGATGATTATAAAAAGACAAAATATTATTAGCTACTTTATTATAGGTGTACCTAACTACCAGCTATATAATATGTTAATATGTTTTAATTTAATTTACATGTAATATCGATATATACTCGCGATTTTAAATATGCGTCTAATGTCAATTCACCGAAGAGACGAACGATTGGGTTTAATTTTTATCTGGGAATATTAAGCCCTCTTGTACTAAAACCAACAAAGATTTAAAACCATATGCACACACCGCACTAGAGATAAAATAATATTTGTAATGTGCCAGTATATTTGTATATTGTGAGCTAACAGGAAGAAAAAATACCACTCGACCCGGCGGGCTCTATATTATAATATTTATACAAGTTTATGTACGATAATACCTATAATATACCTATACTTGCATAGCATAATATTGTAACGTATGGACGTGTAAAGTAATATAATATACTATGTTTGACATGTTTATTTCGTCTGCAACAACACCCAATAAATACAGATAAGATAATAATTATACACCTAGGTAACTTTATTATAATGTTATCGACTATCACTGTACACGCCGTGTTCGACGTACACCGGTGCAGTGTGGGTACCGATGGGGTGCCGATGCGCAATGGCTGCAATTGCATATGTTATACCGTAACAGTATCGCCCGTACTTTATGGAAACCGATTAAACAATGATTCATTGGGTTCCGTAGTCTATGCAAGTTCATACTAGAATATCTTCCATATTATCATCCCCCAACCGACCATGAAACTAAATTGACCCCTCTATCACAAAAACAATGGACCCAGCCTTATTAATGTATTATTGCATTGTAATAATAATAATAATAATAATAATAATATTATTGAATAAACATTAAAATGAAATCCTCTGTCTTCCAATTGCTTCATGCACATATTTTGTATACTTACGTGACTAATAAATGAAAAAAATATTAATTTACCAGTAACCTACTCGACCGCTCAGTAAAATATGGATTTTGTTCACTTAAATAATTAGTGGTTTATTTTATTTTTTCACTACCTCTATTAATATTGTGTCTGGGTACGCCTTAATATAAGTTATATTATATTTATAGCGTACACAACTCGCCGTGTTGTGTTGAATTGAATACATTCAACTCGTTACCAACGTTTTTTTACTTTCGTATATGTATAATGTGCTGAATACGACACGACACGTCAAGCTGTGAACGCACCTTTATTCGGGTCCTGTACGATCGATCTAGTGAATGACAACAATAATATTAATACCACAGATTTTTATGATTATATTATAATTCACGACTCTTGAGTCAGGACGTAATCGGTTTAAACTTGCAGTATTGTTATTAAAACGGTTCAAGGGTGGATATTAACACGCCCGGTTATATAACTCATGCATAAGGGGTAAAGGTATATTTATAACCATTTTTAACTATAAACACGTACTTACAATGCTTTTTTTGTTCTATTTTTAAACGGAAATAATGTAAAGGCGACATTTTTCTTCAGTCTTCATATGCTGTTAATTTTAATATCATAAAAATTAATGATTTATAATATGAATTATGTATAAGAATATTAGACGACTAACGAAATTAAAAAATAACTATGGTTTTCTTATTAAATTTGTTTTAAGCTTAGAAGATGCTTCAAATTCACTTAACTATAGTTTGGGAATTTAATTTCATAGGTGTAACTATTTAATGATTTTTTATTGAATATTTTACTATTTTATAGTTTTGTAAATTCAGTAATTATATGATAAGTATATACACTAGATTAAATATTACAGTTATTTTCTATTTTATTTTATACTATTATTAAATTTTTAGTGAATAGATGCCAAGGTATTGGAGACATTCAAATTTAGCTTCAGATGAAACAACATTATATTTTAAAAATCCACATAACAATTTACAGTAAAAAAAGAGGTGGTTTTGAATAAAAGAAGCTTAAATCAATGCATACTCTGAATATAGCAGAGAAACACTCATAAAAAATAATTAAGCATTTGAATAAATGGTCTACACTTTAGACTCTCTAAAGTGTACTAAAAAATTCCAAATGTCAGAGTTTAAATATGTATATTATTAAAGGATGAATCACTCTGAATATGTTTATGTCTACTCGACATTCGTGTAGGAGTGTCTGAAGTGAGCCTGTAGTTATACATAGGATTTATACTTAACATTTATCAATAACTGTTGGACGCTGCGACACTGCAGTACTTATATTTATTATAATATTCTGTGTGTGCGTGTGTGGAGAGATTCAAATATATATTAGGTATAACCGTTTAGGAGTTGCGCTGTACCTATGGATACATAATAAACGGCTGTCTAAGACAACTTGTCTTTAGTCTTAATGACCTTGTTTCATTCACCAGCGCCAGAAGGAAAGGGAAAATGGCTGACATTTTTTTTTATTATTTCTATTTTCAGAAAATAAAAATGTTGGGATTCAATAAAAAAAAAAAAAACGTGTATTATCTAATTATAATACGACAAGAAAATTACAGAAAATTGTAATAAAGTGTATCAGTGTAAAACTATTTGATATTTAAAAATGGTAATAATTATTATTAAACGTGACGCCACAAACATGTTGTGTGTAATATGAGTGGTACCTTTATACACGTAAAAATGTGAATATTATAAATTTATAACACATTACACTGCAGTATCTATGTGATATCATATTAACTATATTAATAATAATTGAAAATAACCATTTTCACTGAGTGCTCGGCTGATTCCGATGTCACTATTAACGATAATGTCATATCGTAAAACATAGTTATAAAAAAACGGCGTGTAAAGGTCACGATGAATGGTTTATAAACAAACAAAAATTACAAAATAAGAAATCGATATTGATAATAATATTATATATTATAGAAAACATGTTTGGTTTTGTTTTTTTTGCCGACAGATATTGGCTGTGACTCGAAACCGACATACCTCCCCCCACCCCCGGCACCAGCAGCTGTGGCACGCACTTCAAAGGTACCCTGCACACAGACAAACACACGCACTCCCACACTCACACACACACGCACACACACACGCACACACACACACTCACACACACATATACGATATTTAATGCACATTGTACACTGGTGCAGTGTATAGAGTGGCCACCACTGCACCATCACTGCGCCACCACAGTAACGGCTGCACTACGCCGATGATGCGCCACCAGAAACGCGCGGGCGGGACGCTTGCGCCGCGCAGCGACTGCGCCGCCCCACCGTGACCCTGACCAAACATGGCCAAAGACAAGAAACCGGACAAGAATAACGGATCGAAAAAAGGAACGGTCACCTGTGAACGGACATACGTTTCGGACCGGTGTTCGCGAACCGCCAACCAGGAAACCCGACGATCGCCGCCGAGCAGCCCGTCCACGATCCGAGTAATAGACCTCCCATGCAGACATCAGCGGAGAGGTGCTGTCCGCGATAAACGGACCGTATCGCTCGACAAACCTCGCCCGGCGCACCAGCGCGCCGATAACGCATACGTGGAGACGCCGTTCGCGGACGGCGTAGTGCCGCTACAACTGCAGGGTGCTCCCACCGCGTCCTGCTCATCCTCTACGTCGTGCCACCCGCCGTACGCCGTGTCATATTCCTGCGGCGGCTCCGATTTCGCTGACAACAGCTACGCAGAGCTTCCCGCCATAAAGTTCGCGGCCATGAGATCGTCAGCCGAACCACCGCCCCGCCCCGGCGAAGGCATCATCGACGAGTTCCCGGCGTACGTGCCGTGGAAGGCCGAACAGCGCGTGGAGGAAGACTCGTTGGCGTGCAACGTGTGCCACAAGTGCCGGTGCACCACTTGTCAGAAACTGTGCAAGTATCCCGGCATGCGCGTGTGCGGCGTGTTTGACATGCAGACGAGGTGCGACGAAGCTTGCGTCGAGACGACAACGGTGTGCGTGCCGTGCGTCCAGAAGACGGCCAGGTGTCCAGCGTTCAACGCCGCCAGGGCTGAGGCCGCCGCCAGGGCTGAGGCCGCCGCCAGGGCCGAGGCCGCCGCAGCTTCAGCCGCCGCCAGGGCCGAGGCCGCCGCAGCCGCCGCAGCCGCCACAGTCGACGCAACAGCCACAGCCGACGCAACCGCCACCGAAGCTGCCAAACCGGAAGGCAGTGACGGTGAGCCGCAGACGGAGCGCTCCGCGTCACGCAAGTGCCGGTTGCGCTGGCTGCTCTGTTGCCTGTGCTGTCCGTGTCCGTACTGTCCGGTCAACGACGCGGCCGAGTGTTCGACCGGGTGCCGTGGCAACGTCAACGTGTCCGGTTGCGAGTGCGTCGACTGGGAGGCGCTGAGGCAGAACAACCGCCACCGGGTGAACGCCGCCGCCGCTGCCGTCGCTGCGTCCAGAGACCAACGTCGGTGCCGAGACTACCATTACTACATCAAGGCGATGCCGCATTTGGCCAACCCCACCGCAGCCTCTGCCGTCGCCGACGTCAAGTCCGCCAACGACAAGTCTGCCAACGACAAGTCTGCCAACGACAAGTCCGCCGTCGCAAAGGCCGCTGCCGACGAGGAAAGCGGCGGCACCCCGACCGCCGACAAGAAAAGCAAATTGCGGAAATTCCTACGTTTTTAGACTAATAATATATGCACGTAATGCGATGTATTATATCAATGTCTCCGACGATTATACTACGGCAAGTACAACCAGGCGTATTTGTTTATATTATTCCATGTATATTGTATACATATAATTATATTATATTATATTATGATAAGTATTTTATCCTAAATTATTATTAGTAGGTAGTATAGTAGTATAAATTTAATTTCGATTTCAAGCTCTGGTAGTATAGTAGTAGGTAGTGGTAGTAATAGCATTGATTTTATAATATATTATACAATCAATGGTAATAGGGTCGTACATTTTTGTAATCAACATAAATAACTATCTTGTATTGTTATTATGGTTCTGTTATTATTATTAGTCTATTTTTCAATCCTGCAGATAAAGGTTTGTTGTTGCAATGATTACATCAACTCTCCTATGTTACTACACTTGTTTTTCCGTTGATTTGTTCATCTAAATTGCTTCCTTAGTCCCATTTTTGTCGTTTATATTCCAACATATTATGGGTAAAATCCATCATCGTTGCCTCGGTACACACTGTAGGTATACGGTCAATCCATTTATCCCTTTTCATCGAGTCCTTTTTTCTGATAGTACTTCTTGATTAGGTCACCATTTTTGTCTGACTTATCATGGAGACTTTTCGGTAGCACCACCAAGCCCGGATTAAGAGGGGAGCACGGTTATGGGACCCTTTGATTTTGGGGTCCCATCTTTATCCCCGAAATATTATTTTTTTAAATGCATCCAGCAAAGTTCAAAAAAAAATTAAAGCAGTTATTATAAAATAAAAAAACTTCTTAATTTTATCTCACGAAAAATTACTAAATTATAATAAATATTAAATTGATATACAAATAATCGATAGTAAAATGATGAAGTTTATGCGATGGGAGTTGTGAACTACTTTATTATTATATTTATTATTATGATTGTACTCTGTAATAATGTACTGATATTAGGTAGGTAATAGGTATTCGCACGAGGTACCATAATAACAGTACACAATTATACAATATGTTACAGTCGTTAAAATGTAGTAATACCATTTTTTGAATTTTAAGTTGAAAGAGGCCCCACTAAGTGTATATAGTGTCCCTGGGCCCAATTGATCCTTAATCCGGACTTAAACACCAAATCTTCAAAGCTTCCGTTTTATATTTTCTTCCTTCTTCAGAGGTACTTATTTACCACAATCTTCCACGTTTCGCAGCCATCGGTAATGACTCAAATGTATATAACCTAATCTAACCAGTCTCGTACCGGATCGTCCTCGAAAAAATCAATACGCATCTATAAGAGAAGTTCGTCTCGCATTTTTCTCGAACTATTTCCGAGTAGTAAGCTTGACTGTTTCAATATCATTACATAATAGACGAGCAGTAACATATTATATTAGATTGCGATTTTCATAAAAATAATGTTTTGTGTAAATATTATATTATTCGATGACATAAGTCGTTTTTCCAGCTTTATGTACAAATAATAATATATGTTGTGTTGTAGTAAAAATAATATCCTAATAGCGAATTTTTCGTGTACGTCTGAGTACCAACCCAAAGTAAATTATTGTTCGTAAATTACATTTATATATAAACATTTACTCCTTGTATTATACTATATCATTATGATATCTCGTCTCTTCGCATTTAATGCAGATACAAAAATGTGTATGTGGCCGGGTGTGACACGGTGGTTGCGTTCAGTCACGTTTCGTTTATGAGTGCAAGCATTGACCGGTGTTACTAGTTCACGGGTGGGTGACCACCCGGGTTTTTATTGACAAATCTTAGCCCTGCAAACAAGTGTTCTAACCAACAGTACACTATAATAAAGCCATTTAACCTACAAACAGCTAATGGCTTAAGATCAATAACAACAAGAAATAAAAAAAATAAAAAAAATATGTACTATAATAACCTATATATTCTATAATATTATTTTGAAATGCACAACATATTACAACATTGTCATAAGAGTTTTTATTAGAATGGTCGTTCTTCCGAACATCTACGAAAGTGTCCCTGCTAAATTATTGTTTTCACTTTAATCATTTTGGAATGGTATAATTCGTGTTTGATTATGTAGTATAGTAATTTATCTCATGTATATAAATGTTATAATACAAATAATTTAATAAAATTATGATCTAATTATAAATGTACCTTTATGATTACAATAAATTATTAAATTGTAATTTCTTAAATGTTATGATGGACCAGTGAGATCTATCGGAAAAAAAACGGAACCTATTTGTAATATAAAAACGTTTGAATTATTAATAAAAAATATAATATTTAATCCCCCGCCCCCAAATACCATTAAGTACAAACACATTAATAATAATAATATTACACCATATTATTGTAATTCATTGTTTGTGGTTCTATCCAATATTGCATGATAATAATATAATTATCGTTTTTAAGAAAATTATTATTATGATATTATGCCTACAACATAAAAAAAAAATGATGCGTACTTACGCCTATAAGTGTGATGTTTGTTTTCCGATTATATCAAATTTCGAATTATGTGTATAATCGTATTATTATTAATTATTATTATTTATTATTAATTATTATTAATTATTATTACTATACACTATTATTATTATAAGAATTGTTATTTTTGATGTCTACGATTGGGTTTACGTATTATAATATCACGATGATATTCTTACGGACACGCCAAAAATTAGTTGTTTTTCCATATTTGCGTGATTTGTCGAAAACCGCTCACGAAATCGCAATCTCCCTCGGCGTCAGAAGACATAAAATTATTATTATATGTACCGTGCTACAAGCATTGGCACCGGCCGGTGTCATCGCCTCGGAAAACTGGCCGTACGAAACATAGTACATTTATTTATCGTAGAATTATAATCTGACGTAAAATGCAAGCATTTTATTTGATTTAATTTGTAAGGTTCGTGTACCTATAACGTTAAAATACGACACCAGACCTGTGGTGATCGAGGGAGTTTCGGGAAATCGGCGCCCCCTCCCTCAATCGTCGGGCGGAAAGACTATAATTCGGCCGTCCTTCGATTTAAATGATGTCATTATTATTGTTACCATTATCCGGTAGCGACAAGACAGTACCTTTACCGTAAAATTAAACCGCGAACCGTTAGATTTATCCGTTTCACCTACACGTGTAGGCATTATAAATATTATTATGAATTCGGTCATATTTTAATGTAGAACGGTTATGCTGCTACGACGTGTTCTCAGTGCCGATAATACTGTAATATATTATTATCGTTATGAATAAAATTGTCGTTCGGGTTTGCGCGATGGCACACGCGACAAACGGTCTGGGAAACTATATTATTATTATTATGATAATATAGAGCGGGTATCGAACGAATTTAAAACAGACAAGTTTATGTAGGCATCGCTAGGTACCGAACAACACATAGGGGATCGGCCAACATTCCTGAATATTACTATATAATTAATATTATTATTATTGTTATGATTGATATCTAACCGATCGGAATGGTACCATTTTTCCTTCTATGAGCGATGTCATTCTCTCTCTCCACAACTCGACAAATCTCGATAGCGTGTGTCTTTTTATGGATTAATTATAAAATATATTATAATATAATATTATTACATATTATTGAATGTTTTTAAATATGATATTTCCATATTGTACAGATACCTACTATGCTCCTATATGGCTATATTATATATTACACATATATATATATATATATTATTATTATTATTAATTATTTTGGACGTGTTATTCCATTTGAGGAAAATATTTTATAGAAAAATAATATTTTAAACACAAATGTGTTTTTATTCACAAATGTCATTAAGTTATATTTATTGTGTGAATTTTTACACCACTGGCATGCACAGACACATCGATAGATCGTTAATGTCGACATTATACCTACTTACATATTGTGTTACAGTCATTGATCCAAAGATCAGTGCAAACTTAATGAAAATATATTAATTTACAGCTCCGTCGTGTATTATATTATAATATATTATAAGTAGCTCGTGTAGTCGCGTATCGTTAGGTCACAAATATCTATTTTCACATAATAATATATTGATTAATCTCAATTGCAATAGATTTTTATTCAAAAATAATAAAAAAATAAATAAAGACGAGTCATCGATTGTTATAAAGTGCTTGGTCTCAAATTCGCATTGTAGTGATGCGCATGCCTATGGTGTTGGTTCATGTTATTTATGATGATAATATGATCAAATATTGTTATAAAATATAGATGTGTTTATGTGTTTATTAAATAATATTATTATAAATGTATGAATTAAACGTAATGGTTTCTCAAAAATCTAACTATTACTATATTATGTTAACGATCGATGGATTTTTTTTTTCAAATTCACTATTAATTATTATAATTTCTTAAGCCTCTCAAATATCAAAATATACTTATATGTTTCTAAGACTAAGTATCTGCATTGGTTAGCACCGGGTTGTAAGCACCGGTTCATATTATTATTACTGGCTACTGCTGATCTATCTCTAGTCATAAATATTATTCAAAATATCGATACAAATATAATTCTTACTACTTGGCATGTTTTTATTTAATATGAAATATTTTTTTGTATAATTTAAGTTTTTTTAATTTTTGAAGTGTCATAAACCTATTATACACGTTTTTTTTTTTTTATTATTAATTTATATACAAAATATAAAGTTTAATATTTCTCATTTATTCTCTCTCTTTCATTTTCTCTCTGGTCGATATATAAGTATACTTAATATGTTCAATTAATTTTAAACTATAATCAATTATTGCGAGAAAAATTATGTAATTATATTCTTAATGTTATCGAATCGAAATAATGTGTTGATGTTTTTGTACTTGAATCTCTCCCGAAAATTTATTCAAACTAAATTTTAGCAGCAGTAAATCATACGACCGTACAATAGTGTACGTGCGCAATCGCAATGCCATACACGACGCGGTATTGACAACCTGTGGACTACTAAAACGTAGCACGACTACCCACAACCGGGTAGGTATATTATATTGTCATCATATTATCAACTGTGATGATAATAATACAACAATATACGACGGCGCACACGACCTGACACGGAGCTCCGTACATAATATAGGTACACATTTTGTATATTATAATATACCTAACCAGTAACCACGTCAGTAGGTACATACGACAACGGACAACTCGTGTCCTGCATTACGATACGGTATAATAATATGTTATTATAATAATATACGCGTCGTATACGACGGCCCACCCGCCTTCGTTTTTATCGCATACAAATAGGCACGGGCAACCTCTACACGGCTGGCCATCTCGCGACAAGACGAATGGTCACGACGAATTGATTATCATAATACGCGATTCCGTGTTTCGGACTTGGATACCACCTATACCGGCTATACCTACCAGATACCGCGTTCACGCAGCCACCGGTCGTGGCGCGTACCTAGGAAGCTATGTGTAATAATATAATACCTAATATTATACCGTGTATAATTGCAGTGTAACCCGCCTAGGGCGGAGGGTTGTGTGATCTCTACGACAGGTGTGTATAAAGGTAAATCATGGTACGCCAGACAAAATAAATTCCAAAACTCAGAACAATAATAATAATAATAATAATAATAATAATAATAATAATAAGAAAAATAAACAAGAATATTATCAGAGGAAATTATAAATTAATAATAGTAATAATAATAATATAATAGTGTTATTGGAAGCCATGATGGGATATTTAAAAATAATATCTTAGGTACAATTTTGTTTCAGTTTAAAAACAAAAATAATCTGATTGTTGTAGGAAATATAATTATTCGTTATTTCCAGTCCTAAATATTTTTTTTCCATACGATATTATTTAAAATTATTAACATATAGGTACCTACATCGGGACTGGAAGATACACAATGTGGTCGGTTAAATCAAAAGTCGTAAACTATATAATATGACACTTTTCATTAATTATAATATAATATGAATTATCTACTTACAACTTACTAGACCTAATGTTAAAGATGCTACAGCTTCACACACAAGACTTTCACATTTTCATTGGATAGGGAAGTTCAATAGGAACTCGCCCTTACTTATTTGCTCACATAGGAACATAACAAATATTTTTTTATTCACTTATTGTAAGAACTTTCAAATGTGTGAAGTGTTTACCAGCTACGTACATCGTGTAGGTACATGAACTTAACCTCATCCGTAAATTTGACGTGGTAACTCCAAACCCCGCTCACCACACTATTTATCTACTCACGTACTATGGGTAGTATAATGTATGGTATCTATTTTATTTTTGTTTTGGTCCAGGACTTCCAGTTCTGATTTTAGTAGGTTCTCAATTATTTAATTTAAACGTTCTGGTTCTAGTTTTGGTTTTTAAAACTATAAATTATAGGCCAAGGTTAGGGTTCTGATGGAAACTGTAAACGGTTCAAACCAATTATTTTTTGGCATCTGTTTAAATTTTTAGAATTAACCATTCAGAAATAAACAATCACGGAGATAGGACGGAATAAATTTACAGTTACTGTACTCGTAAGACCAGACATTTTTCATTGTTAAGATATGGGTTCCTATTTTGGTTCTAGTGAGGCTCTGACTTTCAATATTTTAGAAGTTTTCCATAACCGGGTTATTCGGTTTTGGTCACTGGTTAGTGGTTCCACAATACGTTCGGAACATCTTTACACAAACGTTGTCGACGATGTCTCGCACGGATCACACGGAGCAGCCTTGCAGCAGTGTACCTATTATAACCTATACATTAGCCACGTACATTAAACACAAACTTTCAAGGTGGATCAACTTTCAGCTGCAAATAATATAATTTGTAAGCAGCATGACATAATGCGTCATAATATGAACCAAAGGTGGGCAAGTTAATGAAAAAAAAAAAAACTTGAGCTAGTTCAGTCAATTTAAGAACGTTCAACTATAAGTTAATAGCTAACAGACAATATATTAAACTCTAAAAGTTGCAAAGTTTATGTCTGAAGAAAATATTAACTTAACTCGGTCAAAAAGAAACTAATTACATTTTTTAATATAATTTTATGACATTCCTTTTTAATGCACTTTATATTTATACAGCTTAAGTAGGTTTAGGGCGGTTTAGGTAATTACACTTTTGTGTTAACTCAACTATTAAATCGGAGAATATTTTTATTATGCTTATTTCTATATTATACAATCATCGTAAAAAATGTAACTCAAGAAAAAAAACTTATAAATTCGTTTTAACTATTAATATACAGAATACAGATAGGTATGCACAAACTTGATTTTAACTTGCCATATTGTTTTTAAAACCAACTGGAAAAGGCTTAATTATATTTTTAATGAATAGTGCTAACTCTTAACAATTAAGTTTAAAAGTTTAAAAAAAATTGGCTTTAACTTTTTAACGAGTTGATGCCAATCAGCCTAACCTCATATACGTCTTATTATAATGTTGATACATTATTATGGTATTTATATAGGTAGTTATTATAAAACCGTAAGTACGATCCGACATGCTTAAAGTAGGAAAAGTCGGTTTTTGCGCTGCTAACCGGCCTCTTGGATTCAGACTTTTAATCCGTCTAGTTGCGGTAATTGTTATTTATTATTATTATATCGTTGTGGTATCGCGACGACTACGACGACGACGACGACGACGACCGAGACGACGACGAATGGGCCGATCACTGACCTCCGACCACGGTACAACGGGACGACGAGTTTCACACACACATACACTAACTCTCGCACACACTCTCTCTCTCACACACACACACACACACACACACACACACACGACACTATGTAGCCACAGATACTTATCTACACCGCGAACGGCCGTCGCAGGTACATATTATTTATATATATATTTGTATATATATGTGTATGTGTATTATATTATAAATACCAATAATAAAATATTTTATACTATTTACGATAGTGATCAGGGCTCGGAACTCGCATCGACGATTTCCCGAGACAAATCTTCGAGTACGTACAGTGCGATATGACTAAAAAAAATATTTCCCTTCAGATTGTTGCACCTGCCTACCAACTATTATAATATAATACGCAATAACTATCTGCGCACGCGGTTATAGTTGCAGTGCATAATAATAATTGATATCGCAAACGCGTTCAACGTTTTTTTCCTTATCATTTTGCACGTATTTTGCGTCTTGAGTTTTTCGTATTTTTTTGTTTTCGCCACCGATGCACATATTTGAATATTTGATTAAAATATAATATATTACTTATCGCCGAGAACATATCATTCTTGGAACGCGTATTGCATGTTGTCCGCGTCTTAGACATTTTCCTTTCAGTTTGATAATCTCAAATATTATTCTGTAATCAAGTGAGTAAGTTAAATAAACGGGCAACGACCGATATAATATTATTATCTACAGTAAGCCCACCTAGATCGCTAATCTCTAGCAAATATGCAAAAATCACAGTAATAAATATGCTGATTTGTGCAGTGGTTCAAATCGTAAAGTCAATTATAAGGGGAAGGTGCGTATCGAAAAATTGTTTGTGAAAACCGTTAGGCGTGAAAAACAAGCATTCGGGTGACAATCATATTATTATTTAAAAGTTGAGAAATCAAACTTGCACACAACACACAAAAAGCACGAAATACAGATCGAAGAGTCTTAATTTTTTTATTTGATATCAGCTAGGTAGTAATATAAAAAAGTTTTAAAGTTTTTTTCAAGTTTGAAAAACTAAAAAATAACTGGTTTTATGACAGTAAAAACTTTTTTTTGCATAAATTATATAAACTGAAATAAAAACAATAAGGTAAAGAAAATATTGTGTAGGTAATTTATTGAATAATATACAATTTGGATTCTTAACTACACGTATGATTGTAACTCCAGTGATTCCTTTTTTCCCATGAAACCAATTTTCTATATAATATCATCCCGTAATCACGCAACAATACTAATAACATGGGAAAACTTGTAGCTTACTTTGAATTAGAGTTTAAATATATTTAAGAATAAAAATGTTCTCAAAGATTCATTAAAATTGCCATTTATCAAATCCTTCAAAAAGTGGGTGTAGCGTCTGTTATTTAAATATTTATTTTTTTACCCACGCGATTTTTACTTTAATCATAATATACATATAGGTAATAGCTAGAAATTAATTACCTATGTAGTTTATTTGGATGTAGATAATCATTTCTGTGAACTAATATCATCAAAAGCTTATCATTAAAATATTAACCTCACAAAATAAATTTGATAAATAGTTGATAATTGAATTTACCAAAAATTAGCAAAACAAACAAATACAATTAAAAAATATAATTTGATTATAAATTGATCAACCATTTTAAAAACACAATAATTAAAAAATATGTATAACTTATATAGGTAATATAATATAATACTGTCTATACTGCAGATTACAGGTAATACGAGTATATCATATTTTGTTGATTTTGATGGTATGTAAACCATTCAGATATGAACAATTTATCAGAATATTTTAAAAATATGTTCATACCTGCAATTGGAACTTTGTATACCTGTATGCACCTGCAGTGATGTTAAGCATATTTT